AGACGACAAGATTCTGAGCAGCGGAAAATACAGGAAATAGGCCAGAGGTGATGTCTATTATCTATTATGCAACTTTCCCCGGGGTCATTTTGAATTAGAGGAATTGGTACCAGGCTGATGACATATGAACCATGTCAGTTTTCCTTCTAAGCTTTCAGCTCACCTCACTCCAGTTGCCCACTGTCCAGTCTGATGGACACAGGATATCTCTGTTGCAGGAGCTGAGGGCCTTGGGCTTCAGTAGGTGCTGGCAGTCTGTCGCTGGGAGAGCTTGCTCGTCAGAGCCCATGGTCTGGATGCATAGCACTGTTCGCCTCTTCTCTCCGTAAGGTCCACATGATTTTGAACATGCTTCCCATTCCCCTGCCCACCACCTGTGGGAAGACACGAATGTGGGAAAAGATCACCAAAAGTATACACACACTCATATAACCACTGGACAGAGGAAGTGGGTGAGAAGCACAATTACAGAGCTGGGAGGCTCCTGGAAACACTCGGCCTGCTAGGGAGTACTCCACTGACAGGGCCTTGGTACTCTGTTCAGTCAAAGCTCCCAGGTTCAGCAGAACACAAGGCACAAGCAGTTGTCAAAGCAGGCATGCTCCTGAATGAAAAAACTCTCTATATAGCCTCTCTTTCTGTCAAGGAAACTGAACTATAGGTGCCTGGAATGCAACTACAAGAAAGTTAAAGTCTGACTTCTTCAGCTGGCAAATGAGCATAACAATATCACCTTCATAGGAATAGTATGGAATTAAAAAAATGTCAATTCATGTGATGTGAATACTATAGAACCTGATATGATACTATAGAAGTTAACCATTTGTTATGCTTTATTGTTATTTTGAGTGTTGCTATCAAAAGAATCCAATTAATCTCTAGGTTTTTAGGTTTTTTTTTTTTTTTTTTTTTTTTTGGTAGTATCAGGGGTCGAACTCAGCACCTTGCACTTGCTAGACAGGCATGACTTTCTGGCTTTTAATAAAATGCTTTTCTATTTCAATGTGAAGCAGGTACAAACACAAGAACCAGTCTTTTTTTTTTTTTACATGATATAATTGGAAAATATGGTGAATATTTATGAATATTATTGAGACATGTTGTCACTAAACCTGCCCAGAACATTCCTCTTCACTTCAAACACACTTATCTCCTTGATCTTGCTACTTTCTGGAGCAGTTCTGGAAGCCCTCTTTCATCAGTATCTTTCTGAGTATGATAAAAACCAGCGGTACCTCAGGGTTCAGTCTGTTCCACAATTCTAGAAAATATGGCCATGTTGAGTTCGCACAGGAAAGATGACTGCAGCATCCTGATCACCCAATGCAGGGTTTGCAAATGAAACAAACTTTTGCCAAACGCAAAACTTTTGCTTCTGTTTACAAATGAAATTGTTCACAAACCAAAGCGCTTGTGAACTGAAGTACCACAGTACAATGAAGCTGCTGTCTGGTGCCTTTCAAGAGAAAGACAGATTTGTGAAAAGCGGACTCTGTCTTCACCCATGTTGTTCACCAGATCTGGCTCTGTGTGACTTCTAGCTCCTTCTCCAAATCAAGAGAGCCAGGAAAGGGGTTTTGAGTTAACTCAAGACGTTGAGGCAGCCACAACAGTGCAACTCAAGACACTCATGGAAGAGGAGTTCCAGAACTGCTTCAGAAGGTGGTGAAAACAATGGGATAAATGTAGGCAAAAAGAGAGTAAGTATTCATGAGGATGGTTAATGCCAATGTGTCTCTTACTGTAATACATTTAAAAATGTAAACAGTTACTGTACATTTCAATCTCATCTTGTATTTAGAAAATGATCACTCGGGACATTGCCCTCATTTTGGCCTTCTTGTCGGCTGCAGTCTAATGGTAATAATTTCCTGTTCTTTTTAATAAGAAACGAGCAGTAGAAGAAGAAATTTAAATAGGACAGCTTCTTGTTAGCTGTTCCTAGCAAGTTGAACAATGGAAACTGTTGTCAAAATCAATATTCTTTATTCAATTATTCTTAAATTTAACATTTAAGCTAAATTTACATTCTTTGAGGACCATTACTTTGCAAATCTTCCTAACACAGAAGACCAAATACATATAGATAGATATAGATAGATAGATAGATAGATAGATAGATAACAAAGGCATAGTTTGAATTCATCTTTGCTTCCACAGACAGCATCTCTAATAATAAATAATAAAGTGGGATCATTCTAATTTCATGGGGCGAAGAGTATACTGTGGAAAGCCCTTTATTTCTGACTTTCACAAAGTCACCTGAACTTAATATAATATTAACTTTTGGTAACTCTGAAAAGATAAAAGTTTTTACTATTTTTGTTTAGTAAATATCAGATTTACTTGAATAGAATTTATTTTCATTCTCTTACTTTTAATTTCAAGTTAAAATATTAGAAGAAAGCTCTTCCTCAATCTTATTACATTATTCAGTTTATAAGTAATTAAGATTATGTACTTGTTCTTAGTCTCTAATATAGGGCTGTCATGCGTGGATAAAAATCTGGTACTGGACCAGTATGATGTGAAAGCAAATAAATACCCAGTGTATTAATCTAATTACTCTGTCTTACCTCTGACATTTCCAGTGGAGGCCAGCCATACTACTGACTATATAAATGTCATTCGGGAAAAGGCCTTAATCTAAGTTTACTGAAAGCCTAATTTATCTAATTACTTGCTACAGGGTTTTCAACTGTGTCATCACAAAATGATGACAGTTTCTTTCCTACTTAGAATTGTAGTGTAATGCTCTCTATATCTGCCATGATCGTCTTGAGTGAAGTTTTTATTACTATTAAGCAAATATCTTTTAATATAAATTTTCTATGATAACAAGCTAATACACAATTGGACAATTAATCATGCACTGTCTGTGTTTTTCTTTAGTCATTAAACACGAGTTAATCTCTTTCAAGTTATGCAAGTCCTAAGGACTGGAACTATATGATTTATTCTCATTGTGTCAGTATTCTGGGAGCTTTAAAAAGTTAGCAGTGTGCAGGCTTGATTGAAGACATAGAATGTCTTTTGGGTAAAAAAAAAAAAAAAAGGCATCAGTGATTTTTGAGAGCTTCCTGATTACTTTTATTTGATGCCAAGGTTTTAAACTATTTTGC